CTCCTGCTGGTCTCCAAGACACAAACTGCCATGTTGTAAAGATGGCCACAATTTAGGAAACTGAGCTGTAGAAGCCGAGAGCAGCCCCTGGCCAGCACCTTGGGAGAAAAATGGGAACCTCAGTCCTACAACTGCAAGGAACTGAATTCTGCCAAAAGCCATGTGATCTTGTAAAATGGCCCTGAGCTCAAAAACACAGGTTGGCCAAGTCTTCATTTTGAGCCTTTGGAGACCCTGTGCAGAAGATCTAGCCGTGCTGTGACAGGACCTTTGATCTAGGGAATTGTGAGGCACTAAATTCCTCTCGTTTTAAACCACTAAGTTGGTAGCAAGAAATTATAAACAGAAATTTGTTATACATGTTATACATGCCCAGATAAAATCTGGAAATCTAAATTTTTTTATCCTTCATGTTCTTTAAATTAGTCAGTAACCACACACATGACCCCTAAACAATTAATATTAATTAATGAATTAATTAAACAGAAAAGAAAGCCATGTTGACATCCCATGTCTCTGCTCCAAAATGCTCTCAATATATTTTATCAGTTGACTCCTGTACACAAATAGTGCGGGCAACTACATCAAAATAAGCAGTTTGGGATGGAGAATAAAAAGTGATATTAAAAGTGACAATTATTGGAAACCTTAAAAGTACTACCCGTATATTTGCCTTGGAATCAATCATGTCAAATATGAAGGCATATACAGAGAAAAACTTAAATTGCAGTGTCAATCTTCCTGCCTATCTTATTTCACTGTACTTAGATGTAGCCTCACAGTATCTAGCAGACTTGCAAGTTCTATGCCTCTTCTTGGACATAAAGCATGACTACTACAATTAGTCACCCTAGGAGATTCAAATTCTGTTTCTATTATTTTTGCTACTGAATAGTTGTTTGCAGGAAGAGAGAAAAAAATGATGATGAAATATATTATCCTATCACCTCTGTAATTTTTTTTTCTTTTTAGATGTAAACCCAGTAACTTCCATGCCAATGATTTCACCCTTCTCTCTGCTTAATAAAGTACAGCTAAAGGTAAAATTATTTGTCTTCCCTTTGCAAATACATCCACAAAATACATTAAAATTTTATCTCTAAATAATTTCCCACGTAAAAAAGAATTTTCCTGACATTTGATGTCATTAATAGATTATAAAAGCCACAACATTGAGTACCAGATATAACACACACTGCACAAATGCCCAGTTCCATTTGAAGGTAGCTAACAAAACTCTTGACAATAAATAATTCAAATCAAAATGTGTTGCCTTGAAATTCCTTTTCAAAATTTTTTAAAATTTCTGCCAGACTTCCCTTAATCAGCCGTTTACTTTTGTCTTATGCATTACAGACATTAAGCACTCTGCTGGCCAACTTGGTTTGAAGTCATTGGCCTCGAGCCTGTCAGCAAATATTTGGTCTTAACTATTGTAATTATGGAAGCTGGTATAAAAACTCAGTCTGGATACTAACGTAGAAAGTTATTTCTAGCCAAAACCGGTTTTGGCTCAGTGGATAGACCGTGGGCCTGCGGACTGAAGGGTCCCAGGTTCGATTCCAGTCAAGGACATGTACCTTGGTTGCAGGCACATACCCAGTAGGGGGTTTGCATGAAGCAGCTGATCAGTGTTTCTCTCTCATCAATATTTCTAACTCTCTATCCTTCTCCCATCCTCTCTGTAAAAAAATCAATAAAATATATTTTTTTAAAAGAAAGTTATTTCTACAACTTTTGATCATGAGATAGTGGTGGACAGAGGTTTCCTAATTACACTGTTGCAGGAAAGCATTAGAAACCACATAATGGTCATATAGAAAGATCACTAATATTCCCCAAGTGAATTCTGTGAAAGCATGTCATGCTAGTTCAATCTGAAAAGTGAAGGAACCATAGCAGTTGAATGCCAAAATAACAGCTTCCCCATAAGGCACTTTGGTGTGGAAAAGTCCTGCACATATTCATCACATACTCATATACTGTAAAATAAGTGCCTTCCTGATTCAAAATGGGTGACAGCCTTGCTACAATTTTGGCAGAAATAATTTTCTCCTATCTTTTATGGACAACTTCTGCATTATGTCAGTTCTCTTAATGAGTAGTGCAAAATGTCAAACTCTGAAAGGAAAAGAAACACATTTATATATTGTTAGCTTAGCGATGAATTCAGACTCACATGGCAAAAATATTATAATTTTAAATCTAACTTACAATAACCAAACTAGATTTCAGAAAAGGGATTGAAATGTCTGATTGCATATTCACACGAGCAATCAGCTAGCCAGAGAGTAAAAAAGATAATTCCTAATGTCCAAAGGCATACTGTCTGTTTCCTGAGATGAGTTCCATGCCTTAGGTCATGATAATCATCTTGCCTGCCCTGTCCCTGACCTCCTACTGCATACTACCTTTCCTGTTAGTAGTTAAGTCTAAAACACACCTGCCTAAACGCCTAAAAATTATGCTAAATGCCTGCACAATACAGCTAAATGGGCTGAATGCAACCCAGCGTAGAACCTTCCAAACATGTGTTTGAGATGCACTCATAGAAGTATTTTTATACAAAAACGACAGAAAATGTAGTAGGAAAGAAGCCCTCTAACAAAGCCATAGCCAGATGGTGTCCTTTATTGGGGGCCAGCTCATATTTCGGAGCTTTTGGAAATGTCACAGCTTATTGCTCTGAGTCTAGATTTGCATCCTAAAATTGGGAAAGCCCTTCTCCTGTGAATGTTATGATCCCTTTCACACATGTCTTGTTATCTACCACTTGGAAAACACCTTCAATTTTTTGAAAGAAATTTATAAATTTTTATATAGGTAATGTATGTTCATCATGGAAAAATAGGAAGCAATGTGAGAAAAATGTAAAAGTAAAATATTACTGACAATGCTATTGTATATATTTTGCTGTGTAAGTTTCATATTATGCATTTAGATAAGTTTATTAGAGAGTTTATAAAAATGAAATTGAACTAGAGAGAATTTTTAAAAATTTTCTCATTAAATTGAAAGTTACATGTGAGCATTTCTCCTATATAGCATTCCATATATATATATATATATATATATATATATAATTTTAATATATATATAATTTTAGTATATATATATAATTTTAGTATATATATAATTTTAGTATACATACATATATATATATTATATATATATTAATATATGTATACTAAAATTAACATTATAAATAGTTGGGTACTATTCAACTATAAGATTATCATATAATTTATTTACCAGAACAAAATTGTTACCCGCTTCTTATTTTGTTTTAGATTTCTAACAATCCTACAATAAATATTCTTTTACAAATAACTTTTTTTCTCTTGTTAAAATGTTTGCTTCAAGTAAATTCTTAGTAAATCCACTGAGCCAAAGTGTATTTGTAAGTCTAATAGCACATCTTACCATCCTCTGTAAATGTTGCATTCATTAAAAGATCCAAGGAGATTGTAAGGGTTCTTATTGACACAAAGCCTGAGAAACATTAGGCCCTGGGCAAGTCTATTTTGAAGAAGTGGCATTAGAAGAAGTTTAAGTTTAAAAAATGTGGCTCTCAAAAGAAATTTCAATCATTGTACTGTTGATATTTGGCTCTGTTGACTAATGAGTTTGCCGACCACTGCACTAGGCCATTTCATAAGGGCATGTTAAAAAACAAACTGACCCCAAATGAAGATCTAAGCCACCAAATGAAGATCTAACTTAATTACATTTTGGCTCTCTCAGAAATGGAATCTTACACCAGGAATCTTAAAACCTGCTCAGCATTACTTAGACAAGAGCTATCAGCCCCTGGAGCAGGGCTAGAGACCTTTTCCTTCCAAGGACCATTTGGATATTTATAACATCATTTGAGGGCCATCCAAAATTGTCAACTTAAAAATTAGCCTGCTGTATTTGGTCTAACATTTACCTAACTCACAGATCTTATGCAGCCAGCGGGCCGGACATTTCCCACCCCTGCCCTCGCAATAACCAATTCACTTTTTCACTTGTATCACTTCTTTGTCCCCGTTCCCTTGCGCATATAAAATCTTTCATTTTTAAGAGAGACTCTGATCTTCTTTCTGTTTTCTAGACTAGATGCCGCCCATTTCATGAATCTTTAAATAAAGCCAAAAAGATCTTTAAGACTTAGTTGAATTTTGTTTTTAACAGACAAAGAGTGGTAACTGTTATTTTTAATTTTTTTCTTTGGTAGTGTGACTAAATATTTGCACATATTTTGACTAAATATATGTATGTATTGACTGTTCATATCACTTTGTATTTCTCTATTAGAGTATTTGTCTTTTACATGTTGACTTATAGATATTTTTATTATTACTTCTTTCCTTTACATTTTTTAATTTTGTTTTTTATTTTTATTTATTTGTTTGTTTGTTTGTTTGTTTGCTGTTGTTAATTATCGCCCAGGGATATTTTCTCCATTGATTTTTTTAGAGAGAGTGGAAGGGATGGGGGGGGGGGAGGAGAGAGAGAGACAAACATCGATGTGAAAGTGACATGTCATTTGCTTACCTCCTTCAGGCACCCCAATGGGGGCCATGAATCAAACCTGTAACCCAGGTATGTGCCTTTGACTTGGAAGTAGTTTTTATTTTATTTTATATTAGTAATAATTTGCATACCCTTTTTTTAAATGGCTTCTTTTTGTTCTATATGTCAAATCTGTTCACAAGCCAAGTTTATAAAATTATAAACTGTTTTCCTTTAAAATTCATTTTTAACAGGTTATTCCAACACCTTTCTTTCCTCAGTGATTTAAGATGTACTTTTTATTACATGCCAAATACCTATATGTATAATACTTGGATGATTTCATAGACTTAGGTGTTGATTTTCCACCATAGTATTTGGAAGCATATTTAACGAAGTGCGTTAATGCCAACCAGAATGATCAGCTCCATAATTCAACATGTGTTGGTGAGCTGAGGTGGAAATTTTGCTGTGGGTGACATAAATATGTTGATATCTTTTAGTTGTTTAAAAATGTTAGCACATATACTAAAATTGGAATGATTTAAAGAAGATCAGTATGGCCCCTATGTAAGGATGGCATGCATATTTGCGAAGCGTTCATATATATTTTTAAATATATATTTTATTGATTTTTTTGCAGAGAGGAAGGGAGAGAGATAGAGAGTTAGAAACATCGATAAGAGTCATCGATTAGCTGCTTCTTGCACACTCCCTTACTGGGGTTGTGTCCGCAACCAAGGTACATGCCCTTGACCAGAATCGAACCCGGACCCTTCAGTCCGCAGACAGACGCTCTATCCACTGAGCCAAACCGGTTTCAGCAGTGAAGCCTTCATATTTTTTCTGTAATACCGTCAACAGTTAAAATAATTATTTAAAATTTTAAATAAAATGTCTTTGCACTTATATCTTTGCCAATCAAAATACCATCCAGACTATGATATTGTGTATCTAGTCAATTAAGCAAAACCTAGAGTTGGCTAAGGTTTAAGATTGAAAAAAAATACATCTAATGTACTTTGTTCGTTTAATCACCCAACAACTTTTCTATCCTCTGGGAATGAAAAACAAAAATAAAAAACTAAACTAAACAAACAAACAAATAAAAAACAAAATTTAAAAGCAATATACCCTGTCCTTGTGGGGCTTACTTTCTAAGCATATGTGTGGGTGTAAATGTGTTCTAGGCAGGAGGGCAGGTAGAACAGAAAATAAAACGTAAAGACAATAGAATATGTGACTATGGAGAAAAGGAAAGCAGAGTAGCAATTTGACATGAGTGTTGGCAAGCTGTAGAAGGTGGGAGGTGCTACATTCAATACACGGGCCAGGGATCCTATAGAAAATATCCAAAAGGAGGTGAAGGAACAGCCTTGTAGCTGTTTGTGCGAGCATTTTTCAGGCCAAGGTAAGAGCAGATGCAAAGACTCTGGTCCCTAAAATGTCTGACGTGGTTAAGCAAGGGGGGAAGCATTGGGAAAGTAGGCACAAGGGCTTGGTGTGTGTAGAAATTGCACCAATGGTGAAGGCTACAGGCCATGGTGAGGTTTTCACTTTACCACAGATCATCACTGAAGCATCATCTATCTATAAATATGCCTACTAATTTTGACCAATTCACATTAAGTTTTTTCAACACTAAAAAATAAGTAATTCTGTCACTGTTAAAGGCACCATCTGCAAATGTGATTCAGTAAAAATAAAAATTTTACTGATGATAAATAACGTATATCCAAATGGTTAGCATTATTTACAGTTGTGTTTTCAGCAGCTATGAGTAACGAGGCCATAAATAACTTTTTTTCTTCTTCCAACATAGACTGTAAATTCTTAGCCCTATCTCGAGTTTGACTTACACTTTCAAAGCTTGCTTCTTTTCAGACATATAATTTCTATTGCCTCTAATATATACTATTTTATAAAGTCACCATCTGTAATAAAACTTCCATAAGGGTGATTTTTTAACCTAATTCATAGTACCATATCATAGCTACATCATTTATTTTATATGTATTTATATTAAAATATTAAGCCTGTGGAAATTTTAGTCCATATTTCAGTCAACTAATTTTTTCATCATGGAGATTTCCACACATCAATGGCCTATGATAATTCTTATATTTCATATTAAATAAAATACAATGACACTTTTCACTCTATTTGTTCAGCAGACATTTTGTTAATACTATAAGCATGTAGGAAAATTCTTTCCTGCCACTAAGAAATAATATTTTACTTTTCTAGAAATAAATTATACTTTCTTTCTTATGCTCACTTTGAAACACATGCAAGCAAAGACTCTCTCCAGCTTAAGGAAAAGGAAGGCGTAGTATGATGTTACATGAGAGAAAGTAATACTTGAGCTCAGGGTCAGAAGGACAGAGGGGAGAGCATGACAGGGACACTCGGGAACATGAGTATCACATCTGAGAGTGGGGGCTGTTATGACTTGCCAATTACTTGCGTTCAGGAATGCATATTCATTTTGCCACATCTTTCAATTTGCCAAAAATGCCAGAAATCTGTATTTTAAATGAAATGTACCAATTAAAAATATCTGAATGCTTTTCAGAATGTTATATAGGTCTGACACACTATATACAAGCTGTGTTCAGCTTCATAGTAATCACTTAATGATGCCCTCCTCAAGGTAATATCCATTTGATAAGATTTACAGGATGATAAATTAAAGAGAAGACAAGAAAGTCAGTGTCAAAAATAAAACCCAGAAGACAATTGTCTAAGTGAAGAAAGGTACAACTACAAAAAGCCCTGAGTTTTAGGAACAAAATGAAAATGATAATAATAATAAAAATAAAACCTACACCCAAACACCGAGCCAATAGTCTCTTCCCACTATCTATACTGTTCATCCAGGAAGAGAATAGTTGGAGAGACATCCTTCTGCCTAACCACTTTTTTAGGCTCTAAGGATATAGTATACTGCTTAGCAGTAACACTTCTATAACTAAAAGCATTCAGCCTGGCCATTTTTTTCAAATAAAGGCTAGCCTCATTCCGCAGGCATCCACAGTTTCTCCCAAGCTATTGTATATCTCAATTTTTGTTCTATTTTCCAAACATTGCTTCAATTATCCTGCATGTCAAACAGATTAGTCTTCTCAGCATACTAGAGCATGCCTGATACCTTCCCATGGGCCTCTCTTTGCTTTTAAACATAACTGGAGCTGAAAAGCCTTCTCTAAAATATGAGCTATTACTTCACCTTCAAGACACTATCGCCTCGTGGAAACCTAGTGTGAATGTACTTACAAGACTCACATCTCTAATGTGACTCTCAGCATATTGGGAACATTTAAATGACATTCACTCTAGGAATGTGCCTCTCTCTCTCTCTCCCCTTCCCCACCTCTCCCTCTCTCTCTCTCTCTCTCTCTCTCTCTCTCTCTCTCTCTCTCTCTCTCTCTCACACACACACACACACACACACACACACACACACACACCACTCCCCAGAGCAGCTTCCCCCAAAGTCCTTGCTCATCCCCTTCTTCAATATGAGTTTATCCCAACAATTACAAAGTCTCCTGTAAGGTTTTTAACACAGAAATATAATTATTCTGCCATATTCAATGAGACAAATATGTACAAAATAATTCTACGTACATGGACTACATAGAGCTTAGTGATATTCCACATTCATTGATTCATTTATCAATATTCAGGAAAACTTATTGAACACCTACTATATGTCAAACACTTTTCTAGGCTCTAGGGATATAGTAATAAACAAAGTAGTGGATACAAACACATATACATGTGTATGTATATACATATACTTACAGATTTTTAAGTGATAGTCTATGAAGCTAAGAGGATAAAGAGTTTCAGGGGTTACTGTTTGGGTAAAATGATCATTGATCTTCTTTCCAAAGAGAAGACAAATGTACAAGATCTGTTTTCTTCAGGCTGGTTACCTCTGTCTAGTCTAAATCAACTAAGTAATGTGTTGGTATCATTATTGGAAATATTTTATACTTAAAATAGAGCCTCGATGCATGAAATTTGTGCAAGAGTAGGTCTTTCTTCTCCCAGCTGCTGGCACCAGCTTAGTGATATTCCCAGCTTCCTTCTGGCACCCAGGACCCGGGCTTCCCTCACAGCCCCAGCTTCATCTGGAAGGTCATGCAGAAGGTCATCTAGTCTAATTAGCATATTATGCTTTCATTAGTATAGATGATCAGCTTAGTGTTCAATTACTTGTTTTAGAATTTTTTTAAATTAAACTTAATAGGATGACAATGTTTAAAAAAAATATATAGGTTTCAAGTGTACAATTCTATCCAGTGAGCTACTTAATTCTTGAGAAAGAAGAGAACTCCATAAAATCTAGTGTCTTTAGCACTTTCAAACCAGATGCCTAGTTTTTTAAATTTATTTTTTAATTCTTTACATGCAGATTTACCTAGGGGAACATTTTTGCTTCTACTTCTCTATTTCTGAAATCTGAAGCATCTAAGAATCATTCTCAGCCAGGGGACAGCCATGACATAATCATTGCCATGCACGTACAAACTTGTCACAGCTTTTCCTATTGTCACCACTTGGAATTATGTGTACTGTTGATAGTTCATGTATTGAATTTAATTGCCATTTCATGTTAGCTTCTAAAAGATTACACTCTGCTTCTGTTTTTAAATGAAATGTTGCTTTTTACCCATAAGTGCTCAGAAACAAAACAAGCAGACCATAAATGTGAAGCAAATATTGAAGGAATGATGAGCTCTCATGCACACGGTCTCTCATCTTCCAGCAGCCTAGAGGGGGCTTGTTCACAAAGTAGAAGCAAATGTAAGGAGAGAAAGGAGAAGTGCGGAAGTCTGCTGGAGGACCAGGCTCCCAACTGGTACAGTGTCACTCTCACCCAAGCTAGTGACAAGACCAAGGCATAGATCCAAGGGGCAGGAAAGTAGACCCACCCCTTTATAGCGAGAGTAGTGGAAGGTTGAGGTTGCTTTATAAGGAATCTACTCAAGATCACATACCACCGTCACAACCAAGTGCAAAAACAAACCAACAAACAATCTGGCAATTCCCTTTAATAAATGAAAGCAATCTCCAAAGCTCCCACATGTGAAGTGACTAACTCATGTCATTCGAGTGTTGCATAGGAAATGCCAGTAAGTTACATACATTGGTTGGTTAGAAACTTCTCACTTTGATCAAAACCTGCATACAAGTGGTTGGCAAGTGATTCAATTGATGCAGATAGAAGCTGAAGTTGTAGCCCACAGGCTTTCCTGACAGAATCTTGACATGCCTCAAAATTATGCTCTCAACAGTAAGACTGTAAGAGGTTTCAAGATGGAGAAAAGATTACATATGTTTTATGTTCAGGTAACGAGAAGAGCTCTTTCAATAAACAAATATTTTAAGTGATAAGAGCAATTTTCTATGATTTAACTGGTAGTTTTTTTTGTTTTTTTTTTTTTTTTTTATTGTGTGTGTGTGTGTGTGTGTGTGTGTGTGTGTGTGTGTTTTAGTGGCACAAAAAATAACAACATATTTTAATTAATGATGTATTAAATTTTCTTGGGGAAAATAATTTTAAAAAAAAAAAACAACACTAAAAGTATGCACCTGCTTG